GGACGACATTGCCCTATGACGTAATTTTTCCAGCGTTTTGAATGATCAAGTAAAGGACCAGTTGGCTACTAGAGACGAACCCAAGGATTTAAATGAGTTAAGTGAGACAGCGATTCGGATCGACAACCATTTACGGGAAAGAAACGAGCAAAAAGACTACAAGTTCCAGCATGCCTCAGTTCCGTTCCTCCACTTGCGCTCCAGTGAGTCACCACCCGATCGTTAACGTAACAAACTATGATTCTGAAACTGAACCCATGCAGAATGGTCGCACTAGACTTACTCTTGAGGAGAGACAATGACGTTTTGCAGCCAAAGAATGTATCTAGTRTGGTAAGAAAGGCCATTTCATTGCTAACTGCTCCATTCGTTTAAAGGTCGGTCCCACCAGGAGATGTTGAGTGGGTGCTGCTAACATTTCTCCTAAGAGTTGTCTCACACTACCTGCTACATTGTGTGTTAACAACATTAACCTCCCTGTGTTGGCCCTTATTGATTCAGGGGCTGAACAAAATCTCATAATCAACAACCTGGTGGAACAACTCTTCATCCCCACAGAGGAACTCAGTCAAYCTATATCCATGATGGCTCTCACTGGACAAAACTTCTCCTCCGTCCCCCATAAGGTTCCCTCTCTCYATTTTGTTATCTCTGGCAACCACCATGAGCTGGGTGTTTTTTGTTTTTYATTCTGACCATGCRCAGTTAGTTCTGGGTTTTCCATGGCTTCACAAGCATAACCCTATCACTGATTGGCTCCAAAAGAGAGTAAATTCATGGAGTAATTTCTGTTCCAAGAGCTGTTTAAGTGCTGCTGTGACCTCTTTGTCTCCTTCTGCTGAGACTGAGAGGATTGATTCATCCACAGTTCCCTCTTGTTACCACGATTTGGCCCAAGTATTCAGTAAATCTAAGCCCCCCCCCACACACACACACACACACACTGCCCTTATAAGTGTGCCATAGATCCAAGGACCCTCAACAACATTCACAACACGTTCGCACTGTACTACAGAGACTCCTTGAGAACCAACTTTTTGTCAAAGCTGAGAAATGTGATTTCCATGCCTCATCTATATATCCTTTTTGGACTGATTTTTGAGAGTGGACTGGTGCGAACGGATCCAGAGAAGGTCAAAGTAGTGGCAGAGTGGCCCAGACTAGAGAACAGGAAACACCTGCAACGATTCCTAGTTTTGCAAATTTCTACAGACGATTCATCAGGGACTTAGCCGGGTCGYAGCTTCCTTAACCTGACTCACCTCCACTCTCCGCACATTCTCATAGRACCCTGATGCTGAAGACGTTTTTTGTAAGTTAAAGCAACTGTTTCCCTCTGCTCCCATTTTATGCCATCCAGATCCTCACATTCAGTTCACAGTGGAAGATGATGCTTCTGACTCAGGTGTGGGAGCCATTCTTTCCCAACRTTCCCTAAGGATAATTGCCACATCCATATAAATTTTTCCCGTCGCCTATCTCCATCTGAGGTCAACTATGATGTTGATAATTGAGAACTTCTTGCCATTAAACTGGCATTAGAGGAATGGAGACACTGGTTAGAAGTGTTGCAGAGATTCCTTTCATCATATGGACTGACCATAAAAACCTTGCCTATTTACAACAAGCTAAGAGGTTAAATGCAAGACATGCAAGATGGTCACTTTTTTTTCAAGGTTCAACTTCTCCATCACTTACTGGCCTGGGTCTAAAAATGTAAAACCTGATGCCTTGTCTTGACAGTTCTCTTCCTCAGATGATCCCAAGTGCAATGAAACTATTCTGCCTTCATCCTGCACAATTGGAGCCATCACATGGGGAATTGAGAATGAGATACTTCAAGCTCAACAAGTGGAATCAGACCCAGGTACCGGTCCTCCTAATCATCGTTTTGTTACTAAATCTGTAATCAGCAAGGTCCTCATGTGGATCCATGTCTCCAAGTTCTCCTGCCATCCAGGAGTTAACAGGATGCTGACCTTTGCTAAGAGGTATTTTTGGTGGCTCACTATGTACCGGGACATAAAGGAGTTTGTTTCTGCCTGCACTGTATGTGCCCAAAACAAGAGTTTGCATCGACCTTCTTCTGAACTTCTTGAGCCCCTTCCCATTCCCAGACGTCCATGGTCCCACATCTCCCTAGATTTTGTCACAGGATTACCTGCATCAGAAGGTAACACCACCATACTCACCATCACAGCTAGATTTTGTAAGGCTGTTCATTTTATTCCTCTAACCAAGCTCCCTTCTACACATGAGATGACTCTGCTCATCACCCAGCAAGTTTTCTGGCTACATGGCATTCCCGACATCATCTTAGTCAAAGGTCTGCAGTTTGTTTCCCAGGTTTGAAAATCCTTCTGCCAAGCTATCGGAACATCAGAGTCTATCGTCAGGTTATCACCYTCAAYCTWATGGTCAGTCTGAAAGAGYCAATCAAGAACTGGAATCAATATTATGCTGTGTCATCAATAATAATCCTTCMTCATGGTCATCTCATTTAGCATGGGTTGAATACRCCCACAACACTCATTCCTCCTCTGCCACGGGTTTGACACCCTKTCAGGCATCCCTGGGATATGYACCACCTCTCTTTCTCTCTCAGRAGCAGGAGATCTTGGTACCCTCAGTCCAGCATCATCTCAGGTACTGTAGGTTTTGAAGGCAGACAAGGGAGGCTCTCTGGAGGTCTATGGAACAGAACAAGAGACTGGCAGATCGTCATTAGACCCCAGCTCCTCATTTTTAGTGGGACAGAAGGTATGGCTATCCACCTGTGATATCAAACTAAAGAATTTTTCTAAGAAACTGGCTCCTCGGTTCATTGGACCTTTCCCTATCRCTAAGATCATCAATCCTTCTGCTGTCAGACTGCAACTCCCCAGAGCTATGCACACCCACCGTACGTTCCATGTCTCTCAAATTAAACCTGTCATTCATCCATCCATCCATCCATCCATCCATCCATCCATCCATCCATCCATCCATCCATCCATCCATCCATTTTCTGTACATGCTTATTCCTTTCAGGGTCGCGTGGGTCACTGGTGTCCATATCCAGCAGTCACAGTGCGAGGGGTGGGGTACACCCTGGACAGGTCTCCAGTCCATCACAGGGACACACATGGAGACAAACGAGACAAACAACCATTCACTTTCTCACTCACAACTAGGGGCAATTTAGAGTTATCAATTWACYYAACAGTCATGTTTTATGTGTGTGGGAGGAAGCCGGAGTACCCGGAGAGAACCCACGCATGCACGGAGAGAACATAATGATCWCTGAATTGTTATTCAGAGCCCCTTAAACCCCAGCAACCACAATCCACCATCTCCTAAGCTRGTACAGGACCAGCCTGTATACACTGTGAGACAGATTCTCAACATCCGTAGAAGAGGTCGTGGACACCAGTTCCTGGTAGATTGGGAGGGCTACAGACCAGAGGAGATATCATGGATTGTGGATTCCCAAATCCTTCATATTGGACCCCARCCTCATCACAGATTTCTACAAAGCTCATCCAGAGAAGTGTCCTGGTTCGCCAAGAGGCAATACTTGAGGGGGGAGGTACTATTATGACTGTGTTCTGTTCTGTTGTGGTTTGTGTTTGTGTGCACTTACCTTCCAGAGTCAGAGTGGCATGGGCGGAGCCTTCAATTAACTCACCTGTCCTGGATCCTGCTGATGAGGGCAGCTGGTATTTAAGCTCCTGGAAGTGATCCATTCCTCGCTGGATTATTCAGTGGCACTGGTACTGAATGAGACAGCCTACCTTTAATCCCTCAAGGCATTTTGAGTAACCTTGTGATTTTTTTGTGTATTCTCTAAGGACACTCTGGGGAGTTTGGAACTCACTTTTTGCTGGAGCTTAAGGATCCTTGGATGTGGACCTCTCCTCCTGGAAAACCCTCACCTGAAGTCTTCTACCCTCCGTCCTGCCACTCTCTCTCTCTCTGACCTGGAAAACAAACAGAATCTGGAACCTGAAACACTTACCTTCTGGATTTTCTCTGCCTCCTCCTCCGAGCCTGCCTCTTCCCCAAGAACCTGTAAGAAAGAAAAAGAAAACACTCTTTAAAATACTCAMCATACTCCTGTGGACAATCCACTATCTTCATTTTCCCGTCCAGGATAAACTTTCTCCCTTTCCCCACTGTAATAAATATCACTTTAATTTATCAYCTCGTCTCTGTTTCATTGTTTGGTTCKGCCTGAACTTGGGTACTCCTCCAGCCAAACTTAACACTCAGATTTTTGTCTAATTTAGAATTTCTTCATCTTTTGGAGTACTGATATTGTGACATCCTTATTTTTTAAAGTTGTGTAGATGTAAATCATCCATTTGTTTATGACTCACAAAATATTCCTCATATAAAAAGTATTTTACTAACAATCAGTGTGTTTAATAAAAAAAGCTGTACTTATTTATTTCCTTTATTTAACCAGGAAAGTCCCATTGAGATTAAAAACCTCTTTTTCAAGGGAGTCCTGGCCAAGAGGCAGCAAAAAGTATACATTTACATAAAAATTACACAATTAAAACACAATACAAACAATCACTAATAAAAACATTGAC